ATAATAATTAAGAAGTGAAATTCTATCAAAGAAGTCTGATTATTTTTCGAGGAAATTAATGTTTTAAATAGTACATAATTTATTCAATAAATAAGCAAATTTTATAGATTAAAAAACCATCAAATTTTTAATTACTTTCATAATTATTAATATCTAGTGAATGATTATAATAATAAATCAGTTAAAATAAAATAATTGTATATAATTGTAATGTATATATTTAAATATTCTATTTACATATTCATGAATCATTTTGACCATTGTTCTTCATTTAAATAACTTTTATAAGTACTTAAAATATTTAAAAAATAAACTAATATTTTAAACAATGGATATTATGAATCAACAATATAGATATTACTCACCTAACTTATAAATAAAAATCTAATATAATTATTCAAACTAGTATCAAGAATAATCATTTTCATAAAGAAAAAAAAATAATTAAATACAAAGGGTAATTTAAAATAAAAAATGGATAAATTAGTAATGATAATTAATTTTTTTATTAAGAGAGAGCAAATTTATCAAATTAAAATAATTCATAAATTAAATTGAAAAAAACAGTTAATTATTGATAGAAAATTATCCTAAAAAGCCATAATTTTTATTTAAAATAAGATTAATTAAATTTAATTTGTTGTTAGAATTCTTTTAGATTTAATAAAGAAAGAGTAATTTTCATTTTAATTTAAAAATTTTGATTTGTAAAACCTACCGCATTAATTATCTTAAATGCCCAAATTTTTTGTTAAAAAAAATTAAACAAATATTATATGCTAATTCAATTTCAAAAATAAAAATTCTTATTTTTTAAAAAGTTATCATTATTAATCAAATAGACATCTAAAAGCTAAATGAAATCAGTATCTTTATCTAAGTAATAATAACCATAGCCCTGTTAGTTATTTTATTTAAAAATAGAAATTGATTATAGAAACATTCTTATTATTGTTTTGATATACTGAGGTTTTTAAAAAGATGCATAGAGTACAGACCCTTTTGGTGATGAACATCTTTATAAAGTTTGATTATTAAGAGTCAGATTCAAATAATCATTATCTAATCTTCTATTAAGAAGCTATCATAATCCTCAAAAATAACTTCATATGCATTGATATTTTAAAAATAAATTTAAGATCTCGAAAATAAAATTCCAGCAAGTCCATGTTCATAATTATTATTGAATAATTTTTTCAAATTTAAGAACTACCATCTGTTATTTTTGTTTAATAGCTTTTATATAAAACCCAACTCCATTTTTCAAACTAAATTTTCTACTTAACAATTTTTAATTATGTAGCTTCCTCCTAAAGATATGAATTTTCCATTTGATTAATTAATGGAAAGATGTACTTTATTAACCCTCACTATTTCATCTATATTAAAACTATGAACATTATTATTCAAAAGTTAATCTATAGCATAAACTGAATTATTAATAAATTTAATAGAATTCATAAGAATAGCTTTTGCGAAAACATTTATTATTGTATCTATTGAATTTGTTGCATAGTTAAATTTGAATAAATTTTAATCCATTATTACATCTCCAGAAGGATAATTTATCATTTAACCTGCAGTTGAAAATATAAATAAATTTTTTCCATAATTATACAATTAATATCTTATTATTTATTTATTAAAATAGCCTAAACCTAACATTTACTATCAAGATGAATCAGTGAGATACTTATCTTGTATTATAAATTTTTTTAAGTAGTACTAGATTTGGTGACTATTTTGCTGAGTTAATAATAATTAAATTATTATATCAAAATTTTCAAAAAAAATATTTTTATATTTAATAATTTGATAATGCTTTTATATTTGTTTTCAAAATTTACAAATTTATAATTGTATATGTAAAAGATCAGAATCGTGATCATGAAACTAAGGTTTAATTTTTAAATCTTCAGAGATATTTTTAAATTTAAATCATAAATTCTAATTTAATTAATAAAGTAAACTAAATTGATTTGAATACTCTTTTCTTTAGGTATAAAATTAGAGATTATATAAGCTATTCCTATTATAATTTATCCAAAAAATTAATTACCTTGAAAAAAAAAAGAAGAAAAAAATGGTTTTTTTTGCCCAAGCTGAAATAAGGGTAAATCACACCATTGTAAAATAATCAGTATAATAATACTAAACTCATATTTTAGAATAAATAGGGTTGAAAAAATCCTTTTTATATTATATCTATAAGATTTTTCATGTGATCCACAAATATGTAATTCATCATTAAAATCATTTGCAATTTCAAAATTGCAGCATAATCAGAATAAGCCCAATTATTAGATTTTGATATAGTCATTGACAATTATAGAGGCCAATTATTATACAAGTAATCACATCAAATTTAATTGCAATAATTTTTTGATCTAAACATTTTAGGCATATTATAATGTGTTGTTTTTATATTACACAACTATATTAACAATCAGGTTCACACTTTTCACATGTTCCATCCTTTGTCAATAATTTTAA